TGTAAGGCCAGTCTCGCTTATCACTAAATTTTATTAGAACAAAGTTAGGATTGTTAATCTCATAGTCAGTGGCGCAGCTACAATAGGTCAGTTAGGTGCAAATAATTACTGGGGCCCCAAGTTCCTAGGGGCCGGTAATTTGTATCACTACCGCGCTAATATTTTGTAAGAGACTTTCAATAATCTGTAGAAATGATTTTGGAAAAAATAGCTTATTTTTAAATGTAACATAGTATGTATTGCCATAAATAAATGTACTTAAGCAAGGAAAAATTAATGTTAAGACCATATTCGCCAAATTAAAAGAACATACTACACTTGTCATTCATATTTTTTTGTAATTAATTAACCAAAGAAAATTTATTAGTTTACATACGTATATTAGCTAACCTGCTGGCTATGATAAATTAGAAAGGTACTCGGGAAATGTTAAGTACCTAGGTCATTTTAATTCACAGCCAGTGCCGCTTCATCCATCAGGCAAGATAGGCAGCTGCCTAGGGCGGCAGGGTGATAGGGGGCGGCATTTTTTAAATACCATATTTTACTTGAATTAAGGTATTATTAGGCTACCAAATCATCTTAACGCGGCCCTGTTCACAGGCACATCGTACATGTCTATCTGTCATTTTTGGGTTGTCGTATGTCGAAATCTTCTCCGACTGGTTGGAAAGACTTTACCCAATGATTTTTATGCCCTAAATCTACTTTTTGTAAAAACTAGATAATCTTTTTTTAGTTGTGAAGCCATTTTACTTTAAAACATTGCATTAAAATATACAGGGTGGCGCACCTCATACGCCTCGTTTATAGTTTGATTATACGAAAACGGAAAGATGTAGAAACAAAATATTTTATGAGTATATGTGTGGAAGCAATGTGCACAATTTAAAATTATTTTGAAATATACAGGCTGTTTCAGAACTAAGATCCATATCAAAATTATATTTTTTTTAAGGAACACCCAGTATTTTATTTCATTTTTGGATTCTTGGGTCCAAAAAAAGGCATTTATTTTAAGGGTTAAATATGTTTAAAATCTTTAGTTTTTGAAATATTTAAAGATATTTACATTTGTATGCTACAATAGGATATATTATTAACACCCTGTACATTAGTTTTCAGAATTTTATTAATTCTTGCGTGCTGAATTTAAATGTAGAGAAATAAACTTTACAGAAAAATGTCAGTGCTTCCTTAAATTTATACAGGGGTATCAAAAAATGTTGATCTATTTTAAGAATTTATTTTACATAAAAACTTCGTTATTTCAAATACAACAACCTCTATTTTTTAAAATAAATTGAAGCATATTCAAATGTTCTTTCAAACTATATTAGGGTTTCCTATACCTATCTATATAGTTCAGATTTTGAATAAAGAGCAATTTTTCAATAAAATGGCAACTAAGAGGGCTAGTGTTGTCATGGCAAGTTTCTAGTGACAGTTAGTAGCTATTTTCAAAATCGAAATTAGTTTATGGACTTATTTAAATTAATACCAGAGTTTACTTTTATTTAATTTACCTACAATAGTTAAATAAATAATATTTATTAAATATGTATTCATTATTCTATCAAGAAAAAAAAAGAAGTAGTTCTTTGATTTATTTTACCATGACTTGTAGATATATGGATTTTCTATAAAAGAGCCAATTACGACAAATTAATTTTCTTCAATTCCAACGACAAGTTTTTGCCTAATAGGTTTTTTATAAACTACACTACCAGTTCTGCGAAATAGGACAAGTAGTTTTTCAAAGGAACGCTTATCAGGAAGATTCCTATTTGGATATCTTTGAGCATAAGCCCTTGAGGCCAAGAAGCAATTTTCCTAGCGTATCTATTCGTTCCGCCAGCAAATACTGCTTTATTTTTCTTGATAAAATAATGAATATACTCAATTATTAAACTATTATAGATACATTTAAGTAAACTGTAATAATTTGTATATAATAATGTTCATAAACTAATGTCGACTTTGAAAATAATTCTAATTGTCACTATATATAAAAAATTGCCATGGCGACACCAGCCATCTTGAATGCAATTTGATTTAAAAATCACTTTTTATTCAAAATCTGAGCGAGATAGGTATAGGAAATCCTAATATAGTTTGAAAGAGCATTTGAATCTGCTTCGATTTATTTTAAAAATACAGTGCGTTGCATTTGAAATAACGAAGTTTTTATATAAAATATATCCTTAAAATAGATCAGCAGCTTTTGATAGTCCTGTATAAATTTAAGGAAGCAATACCATTTTTCAGTAAAGCTTATTTCTCTACCTTTAAACTCAGCATAAGAATTAATTCTGAAAAGTAATATACAGGGTGTTAATAATCTATTCTATTGTAGCATGCAAATTTAAATATTTTTAAATATCTCAAAAACTAAAGATTTTAAACATATTTAACCATTATAATAAATGCCTTTTTTGGGCCCTATAATCCAAAAATGAAATAAAATACCGATTGTGTGTTCCATAAGAAAAAATATAAGTTTGGTATGGATCTTAGTTCTGAAACACATTGTCTCCACACATATACCCATAAAATATTTTGTTTCTACATCTTTCCGTTTTCGTATAATCAACCGACGCGAATGAGGTGCGCACCCTGTATGTATATTCTAAAATAATATTTCCTTTTATAAATTTGATATTATTTCTAGTAAATCCCGTCTTAGTATAATAAAAACTAGTCAGGTTTATAATTTCCTACTAAAATCTTTCTGGTGGACTTTTTTAGCTGAAATAACTTATAAAAAAAACAACAAAACATCCTGTAAGTATATAGAAGCCTCCCCAAACACAAAATCATAAAACATTCTCTGCAGAAATTCATCATTCTCTTTTTTCGACTATAAAATAGGTAACTGAAATCAGTTACATGAAAACATGTTCCTGCTTTACATTACATTCTAAACCTTTTGCTAAACATAAACACACTGCCAAATTTCTGCTGAAATGGGTCATTTTTTCTCTGCCTGCGGAAATATGTCATAAAATAGTGTTAACTTTGAACATGAAAACATGTTCCTGCTTTACATTCTAAACACTTTTCTTGTGTAGGTATGAACTTAACTTAGTAGATAGGCAATTTAGACATCAATACTGTATCGAGAAAAAAAAAAGAAAATAAACAAAAACGAACCAACAAACCAAAGCAATCAAAAGAGGCTGTAAGCTAAAACATGCCTGATTACGAATTACAATAACTGCCGTGTACTTTTCAAATTTTGCTATATTTTAAAATATTTATCAATAAATGAAAATGGTATACTTCCGCAAGAAGTTTTTTGCGTGTCTACGGTTAGGAAAATTTCTAGAATGAAAAACAGAAACATGGTTTCATGTAACTTGTTTCAGCTGTTCTAAAGTTGAAAAACTGAAAATTGTACATTTCCGCAGATGTTTGTGACTTTCTATTCCAAAATGCTTCCAAATACCTACTAAATAACAAATATTTCTTACATAACTGATATCAGCTAAGTAGCTAAAGTGGCACTTAATACAGTAATTCTAAAGTTGAAAAACTGAAAATGATGCATTTTCGCAGAAAAATTTTTGTGATATACTATTCCAGAAATGCTTCCATAAGCTAAATAACAAACATTTCTTACATACTGATTTCAGCTAAATAGCTAAAGTGGCCCTGATTTCAGTAATTCTAAAGTTGAAAACTGAAGATGATGCATTTTCGCAAATTTTTAAAAAAAAAACAAATATTTCTTACATAGCTGATTTCAGCTAAACGAAGTTATTTTCAGTTATTTTAAAGTTGAAAAACTCAAAAATGATGCATATTGAAAAGGCTTCCGAATACTAAAAAAACAAATATTTCTTACATAGGTAAGTAACTGATTTCATTTAAACGAAAGTTGAGCCAATCTTTCTTCAAAATAGTTTTTTTTAATTCAACTTCTAATTCAAGTAATTCAGATGAATTTTACGAAGCAAAACTCTAGTTTTGCCTAGAAAAGGGCAAATGAAACCAAATTTTAAACTTGTCAATTTTATATATTCACATTTCGTTCCATTGACTAATAACTGTAACACACTGTACATTTAAAAATAAACTTAAAATCGAAAATACAATCGTATATACAATGTTTATAGCAGTGATATTGAAAATACTGCGTTCGCAGCCCGTATCACAATAATTCTTCGAAGAGATAACATGCTATTTATTTTAACAAAACCATCAACAATCAACAGGGATTTTGTTAAAACAAATAATGTCGCTCCATGATTACACCAAAGCACGTGTTTATTGATCTGTTTTAGAAATAGTTTTTTAACGAAGCAAATAAAAAAATAACTCATTTGATTTTACTTTGAGCAATAAGTACATTTCAGTAAAATGTATTATGTAGGTATACATAAACATATTACAGTGACTTTGTTAAAACAAATAGGTAATGTTTATCCATGATTATGCCAAAGCACGTGTTTACAGAACTGTTTTAGAAATATTTATTTGAACGGAATAGAGAAAAAAAATATTTATTTTACTTGAGCAACAATATAGATAGGTACCATCTCAAAAACATAAAATTTGATATGTCTTTAAAAATTAGAAAATTAAATGTACCAACAAAATACATTCTAAAACCATATTTTATAAGTCTTAAACTTATATACATGCATATTTTTAGATACTATGGTGAATACTTATAAATTCTGAAACAGTACTTGTTTATTACCAATAATAAAAGTCGTCTATATATTCTATGTAGAATAAACTAGTAGAATTGAAACAATATGCAACAATTTTGTATAAAATTTGTTCGTCTAGTTGAAGTAAAAATACTGTCTTTAACCTTATAATTAAATAATATAGTAATAAATATAACACTTTCTATTCATATAAAATGAGAATACCTACTGATTATTTTTTCCAACATATTTTAAGTATGTTTAAAATTTACAAATAAAATGCAAGAATCCAAAAAAATGAATTTTTATTTACTTAAAAGCATAGAATAGGTGAATATATTAATATATCTATTTGTTAAAGGGCTTTATTTTCAGCAAGAAAATCTATATAATTTATCTACTGGCTTGATATTTCGCTATCTTTAACTTGTGATGGAACGGCTATATTATTATCAGTGATATCTAATAATAATATAGCTGGCAAGTATAAGGAATATATATATTTTTTTTTATATATTCACCTATCCATATTTTAGCTTTCTTATTAATTGACATTATTACAACCAAAAGGACAAACAGCATAGATAAACACAGAACTTTGAACGGGCTTATAAATATAACAAATATCTCTGTTCTAAAAAACAAAACTAGATTTTCGCCAATATACAACTATCAATAAATAATAATGTGCACGATATATACACGATACTGATTAATTTGGTATTAAAAATGATAAATTTACATTAATAAAGGAAATGTTTATGAGCCCTATTCATTATATTTACGATTTGGTAAGTATGCTATAGAAAATGTAAAAAATCGAAGAAAAAAAAAATTCTCTCACAAATTATAGAAAATATTTAATAATAAATACTTTTACAATGTTCAGTGTAATTTTGTCAGGTAGCAAAAAGTATACATCTTGAAGACTGTCAAAAAAAGACATTGGGTCATAAAATTTTACTGCAGTCTGTAAAATAGAGATTTAGCTGAACCGTCACAAATATTTAGGTTCTAAAATACCAAACCTAAATTCCGTTAAGCTGAAAGTAGTAAAAGCTGAAATATATTTTGAAAAGTTCAAAAAAAGCAAAGAGAATATAATAATTGAAGTTCATTTTTTGACAGTCTTGCTAGATTTCAAATTTCCATTTGGGATCATTCGAATATTAATAATACTGTGATGGAAAATGTGAATATTAAATAGAAATTATAAATAGGTCTGTATTAAGCAGAATGGCAAATGAGACATCACTGTATTACTAATAAATACGAATAGACATTGCACAATAAACTTTTTAAATCAATAGGTCTTATAATATGTTTTAATTTCTGAGATGTTAAAAGAATTTTCTGTCGGAATAAAATGTACCTATTTACATAAAATGATTATGTACAAGAATATGCATTTTGTTACAGCAGTTCCTTAGAGATTAGAAAACTTCGCATACTTCAAAAATACCTTTTTTTAGGTAATGTTGAACCAAGTGAAGTTCTTTTTAATTTGTACTAAATCGTAAAGTGAACACACTTAGATTGCCAATCATAAAAAAGAAATTAAAAACAACGGGAACAGTAGGTTGTCATACCTTGGAAAAAAAAATTAAAATAACATGAACTTTTAAAATTAAGCTATTAAGTCAAAATTTCATTTTTTTTATGTTCAGATTTACACAACTATGATGTTTTGTATAATTATTACGATATGATAATATCTTAAAGATAATACATATTAGAGACAATGCCAAGTATATACCTACTATGAAAAATTAAGTAGATTATGTATGTATAACAGTATTGACTATCCGAAACGTTGTGTAAAGGTGAAAACAAAGACAATTAAAAATAGACATGAACATTCATTATAATAGTTTTATTTCGAAGGAAACATTGTCTAGGCAGCTTTAAACAAAAATATAAAATCTATAGCTTAGTTTTAAATTTGGACTTTTGGTAACAAGTGAGCAAAATTGGTCAATCATACATAGAACTAAACTGATGGAAAGTTATTGTTAGTCAAATTAATCTTTGGAAAAGATGAATAATAAATAAGTATTACAAAACACTGGCGAAAAACACTGCATTTTCCAGATAAGTAAATATAAGTATGAACTACTTGGTAAAGTATTTTTATGATTGGCAAGCGAAATTGAACACTTACGTGAATGAAAACTGCACTCTGTCTCATCTCCAAAAGTTCTGGAATACTGCGACGGTATAAGGAACCGATTTAGAGATAAACAAAACTATTTACAAGTTTCTGTCTAATAAAACATTTACATCACATTTTGTATCGACGGCACGTCCAGCTCGGGGGACGTAAACAGCGGTTCTCACATGTGCGCCAAGGGCGCCAATGGTCCTGGTCCCAGTTGGTCGGGCGACGTGCTGTACTGGTGGTGCTGTATGTGCTGGGATCCATCCGTGGGTAAGTACATGCTGATCATCTGCCTGAGGTCACCTTGCTGTTGCTGTCCCGTCGCGTACTCCCGCTTCAAGCCACCGGGAGTCGGCGTATGCAGACCCGAACTTGGGGACACAGGTTCCGACTTTATACTTGATCCCGAAGGACTGTGTGACGATCCTGCCTGTTGCATGTAAGGGGAACCCTGAGGAACGGCTGTTGTCCCGTAGGCTCCGTATCCGCCGTTCATGTACGCCGCTTGGTGTTGTTGTATTTGGTTCATGTCGTAACGCACGTAATTTGCGCCACCGTACTGTTGCTGATAGGGGCTAGTATCGGGACCGGCGCCGGAATGCACTACGTAGTGACCATGACCATTGGGCATGTACCCATTAGTCATTGGGTGGTACATGTCCCTGGCTGTCACTTGTTGAATACCTGGCACGCTTGGTCTCGTGGTATCACCGCCGGGTAGTAAACCGGGGGTACCCAATGGATACTTGTCTTTTTTCAACAGCGTTTTTGTCTTACGCCTGGGCCTATACTTGTAATCAGGATGTTCTTTCATATGCACTGCTCGAAGCCTTTTCGCTTCGTCGATAAAAGGCCTCTTCTCCGTTTCACTCAACAGCTTCCATTCCGCACCGAGCCTTTTCGATATTTCCGAATTGTGCATTTTCGGATTCTCTTGAGCCATTTTTCTTCGCTGACCCCTCGACCAGACCATAAAAGCGTTCATAGGCCGTTTCACTCGCTCTATGTTCTGTTGTTTCGTCGTATTGTTATTATTTGTCGCTTGATTGTGTTGTGACTGGGGTTGTTGGTGATGGCTTTGCTGCTGATGGTGAAGTTGTGACGCCTGGCTTTGGTGATGAATCTGATGGGGATGTTGTGATAGTTGATGCATGGGGGCTTGTGACAGCGCACTTAAAGAACCGTACGCCTGTAACCCGTGATGAGGAGGCATCGTCGCATGTAGGCTACCTCCTTTGAGGTCCGTTTCCATAGTCAACATTTCTTCCGACGGCGCGAACAGTTTGGCGGATTCACTAAGACACTTTAACACACTATACCGACTCGCACTCTACACGATGTCCGGTGTAATACTGTTTTGTGTTTGAGAAGAAACCGGCACAGTCTATTCTTCAAGCCATCCCCACTCTTGCTCCTGACTGACAGCAACGCCTGCCATGTTTGGCGCGGACCAATGAGCTGTCGAGTATAGCCTAAGCACCGCCTATATGGCTCCCCTCCAGTAGTGTGGCGCTCGGCGTCAGTATGCGCGCGGCCAACGGTTTACTAATTATTTGGCCGATTACTAATTATACCTAGCGGGTATTTTTACGGCATGTCGTTGTACGTAGCAATAATAATTAATTAATATAAGCGCATCATTTCGTGCCTAAAAATCTCTAATTAATGAGCTGCTCCTTATGCCGTGAAACATTCTTCCAATTGAAGCAAAAATTGGCTAATCTACTTTTCAGAATGACTACTAACTGGAATTAAGAAACTCGAAGCAAGCTGTTTAATAAATCAATATTTTTCAAGAGCGTACTCTATGATATTTAGGTATTCTATTCTTAAGTGTATACCTATATCTAATTTTCTAGATTTAATACTTACAGCTTATATCTTTCTCATATACAGATGCTTAAAATAGATACTTTATTTCTTTATTTTTTCGCATTCTTTCAAATTTCTCTTTCTATCAATAAATAACAATATATTTTACAATAACAATTATAAGTAAAAAAAAAGTAGGGACATACAGATGTTCATTTATATCTTGGCGTTCAAATAACCTGCGTTTTTATTTATGTGTAGTTATCTAGATTTTATTTTCTTTTATTAAACGATTAGATATTTATGTTGGCGCCACCCAATTGTCAATGAATGGGAACAGGTTAAGGGAACACCGTTTATTCACAAAAATAATTTTATAAGAATAAAAAAGCCATTGAATAGCATCCGCAAGTGTATAAATGCATTGTGTGCTTACTGTGACGGGGAGTTCTTTGAATAGCTTTTGTTGCTGAAAAGCAACAGATTATCTAACCATGAATACTATAGAATAATTAAACTAAAGAGGTTTAGAGTTGTGTGGTTTGACAGTTTAGGTAGCGATGATATAATTTATTATAACGCTTTTAACATTTGATTGTTTCTTTGATTTCTAAATATTTGCCATATTATTTTATCCAATTTTGATGTAAAAAAATAATATTAAAATGCTAGATGTAGATGGCATTTGCCGAAGGTTACAAATTTTGATTTTATAAATAGTAACTACTAGGGTTCAGAACCGGGAGATCCCGCGACACCGAAAGTACCGGGACTCGAAATTATTAATTCCCAGTTCTTTCGGTACTTTTGGGACTCGGTAATAATAATCAAAACATATTTTTTGTTACGTGCGAAAGACTTTTGATACTTTCTAGCGGTCGAAATCAAACTCTCCTAAATAAGTAGTGATGTCTCTTATTGTTCTTATTTCTGAAGTTATTTTGAAGTTTCTACAATGTTTATTAGCAATTATTGATGATGAAGTTTAAATATGTTATTTTAATATTTAGTATAATATTGCTGAATGTATTAGTTATATTTTTTGTGTTATATTTTTACATTTGCATCTTTAATTGAAAATGTTGAGTTTTTTTTCTAATTTAGTTAAGTTGGTTTCGAGATTGATTGATGTTATTTGATGTAATTTTTAAGCTACTTATGTGTTTTCTTTATTTTTCGCTTGTGTTTATATTTACTTTCTCATGACTTAATATTAATTATTTTCATTTGAAACTCAATTTTTTATCGGTTTTACTTTTAGGAACCATCTTTTGCTTGCTAATTGACGAACTCCACAATCGTCGAACGAACATATTTTAATACGGTTCTGGAAACTCTAAATACTACCTGTTAGGGTTCAGATCTCTTTGGTCATCACAGAACCGGGTCGGTAACATTAATCAAAAAATATATTTTTTTGTTATCAAACTCTTCTAAATAAGCTAATGCTGTTTCTTATTGTTCTTCCCAAGTAGCATCTATCTGACTTCAAACTAAATCTGACCTGAAGCGACGTCAGACTTTGTGCAAATTTAGGTCGGGTGCTGGTGATACGACCTGTGACGTCGTTTTCCTATTAAAAGCGACGTCGTTGGATCCGAGTCGGTAAATCCAACGATCTGTCGACGTACAAAATAACAACGTACCATTTTTATTAATTTCCCAACGTCGTTCCCACGTTGGCTTGCACGACGTACATATACTTGAACTAGCCCGACGTCTACCCGTTGTCCGGATAGGATACGTCTCACTGATAATCCCTAAAGTAACGTCCAATTATATTTTGTTGTATTTTATGTTCATATTTATAACCTAATTTACGTATCTCTATTTACGTCCGTAAATACAACCAAAATACAACCCATTATGTAGTATATTTGCGACCTAATGAACATCATGAACACAACCTAATAAAAAGTTTTTGTAAACAAACTTAATTTTTTTATTATGCCTAAAAAACACTAAAAAGACATTTAGACATTCATCTACATTTTACAGAAAGAGGTCGCGGCTTTTGCAAAATAATAATAGTAGTAGTGATGTCTTGCCTCCACCCGTAAATGCTTTTTATCCGGAAGAGATGCTGCATTACACTGGTGCATCTTAATTTCATTTTTTAGCTTAGGAAACCAGCAGACCCCATCCTCCTCCGACATGTGAGGTTAGGCTCACAGAATATACTAACGAAAAAGAAGCCCAAGTTCCTTGTAATAAATCGGTTCCATTTTTCGTAACGCCATCTCTCGACATAGCTGACATTATAGGTTAGCCAAAGGGTGCAGGGCCGGGGGAATTGTAAAATACACTTTTTTATTTTAATTATTTTTATTCGCTATTTGCAATTTTATTTTTAAAACATATTATGTGAAACAATCACATAATATGTCTTAAAAATAAAATTACAAACAAACAAAAGGAATTAAATAATCTGAAAATCTACAAAGTTTATTGATAAAAAAGTTAGGCTATGCAAATTGATAAGTATATTAAGTATAACCTCTTTGGTATAAAATTGTTAAACAAACATTAACAAATCATAACATAGAAACAATCATAGAACTAAAAAAAGTACTATTACATAAAAACAGGTGATACAATACTTCAAAATTAATTTTAACATAATATCAAAACCGAAAAATCAAACTGCTTATCACAACAGAAATTAACACACACTCCGCGGCAAATGTCCAAGAAAGACTGATCATTTTGATTGGTCCTGGTCCGGTCGTAGCTCACGTCGTATTGTCGGTAAGCAAAATCCCTGTCCAAAAATTTGACGATCAGCGCCATCATCCGTCATAATTGGGAAACTTTTGCTGGAACCATTTTTAATATTTCACTTACATGGCCCTGGTTAGGCTTAAAAAAGTGGCTGCCCATTTTTTTTAAGGAGAAAACAAAAACTAAAATATAGTTGCACAAATCCACAAATCACTGCTACGCAAAGTGAGGTTACGTGGCGTACGTTGGAATTATATACGTCATAATACGATTGCCCGTCGTTCGGTTTGATGACTTCGGTCGTGTTTGACGACTAATGTTGGAGACCCGGTCGGAATTGGTATATTGGTAGTTCATATTAAGTCGGACACAGAAATCCGCCATTCTTAACACGTATCCGATTGTCAGCCATTTTAAAATCGTTTTATGTTTTTAAAATTTATATTCACATTTCGATTTCTAGTAGAATAATATTGATAAGGTTGAGTTTGGGGGGAACCACAGTACAGTTTTATGATTAAACCAGCTAGAAAATTAAAAAAAATATTTTGCGAGTTACTTTTTTATAGATATTTTTATTTCATAAATTTACCTAATTTTGAAGGCGCTCGTTGTTTTCCGGAGTATTTTAATCAGATATATCACGAAAGAGACTTCCGTTAACAAAACTGATGTCTGGATTAATGATTCAGAATTATTATAATATGAAATTAGATAGGCACTTATAGTTATATTCGAGGAGTGATTATGAATCCATTTGTAATTAGGTACTTTGGTTAGGTTTTTATATATTCTTGGTAGCGAATATGAAACCAAACGTAACGTAAGTGCTTAGCGACGAATTTTAAGTGACTAAAATCCAACGTAATATGACGTTGGTAGTTGGTAGAATTACATTCCCTATTAGGTCAGATACCGACGTCGAGGCGACCCGAATCTGTATTCCCCAATTTGTTTCAAATTCAGTTAAATTGGTTTATGTTGTTTGATGTGAAATTTAAGTTACCTATACACTTTTTTCTTTACTTGTGTTCATGTTTGGTGTTCATGTTAATTTTTTCATAATTTGTCAATTATTTCATTAAAAATCTCAAATTTTTTATTCATTTTACTTTGAAAAACCATCCCTTGCTTTCTGATTGATGAACTGCACCACCATTGACAAAAATTAGTCAGTACCGAAAGTATCGAAAAAAGGTTCTTAAGAGGCGCGGTACCGAAATTCCCGGTTCCGAAAAACAGCTCCGGTTCCGGAAACTCTAGTAGGTACCTATTATCTAAAATTTATTAATGTAGAACATGTTCTAGATATACCGCATGAGAAACTTTTTTTGTTGCTCAATACTCGGTTTCCTACAAAACGGTACCTACCGCTAAAGAGCGGCCGTAATCTAACGGCGATCTGACGCTCCTCTAAAACGCGTGTATGTAATTGTAAATCGGTGTGTGGTTCCAAAGCGTTCGGCTCGAAAAATACAACGCCCTGTATTTTCTCAAGCGGCCGCTCTGTATACGGTGCGATACCTATTGCCAGCACGTTTTTTGACGGTGGACAATATTGTTTTGAACTATTTTTTGACTCAAAATGAAAAGCGGCAGTATTTTAACGCACCGTCTTTAATGTTACTTTACAATAATATTCACCGTCAAAGCGGCCGTTGGTACTACTTGTTGGCAAAAACGGCCGGTAATGTACGGCCGTTCTTTAGCGGTACGGTTTTGTAGGAAATCAAGGCTTTATAGCGTCCGCTGACATGCAATTTTTAATCGGTCGACTATTTCGCTGCAAAAGTGAAAACAATACTTTCTGATGGAACCGATCGTCCAACCAT